TAATGGAGAAGGGAGGAGAGGAAGAGAGAGCTTGCAGGATCCAGCCCCCAGAGGGGTGGAGGAAACAGATGGTAGTAAGAGAGGAGCAGGGAGAAGCGAATTATGTATAGAGGAAATATAATTATAGGAGAGAGCAAAATTCATAGGGCCTGAAGGCAAAAATTTAAATAGCTCTACTTTTGTATGATTTTAATAACCTCAGTTCCATCAAATTAAATATTTAATTCACATCCTATACTTAGCAGTGCTGGGAAGAGACAGTTTGACACTAATATAGAGCATTTTTTTTCCTGGAGGAATTTTGTTCTTTAATTAAATCTCCCCTCTCTGTCCAAACAATTCCTCTGGCAACACAAATCATACATTGCATGATTGACAGGACATCATGGTGTATAATCTCATGCAGATGGGGGACAACATATAGAGGCCATGGTAAGTTTTTCTTTCGCCTGTGACTCGAGAAAGCCCAAAAACCTTATTAAAACAGGTTTCCGCTTTTAATGAAATTGAAAGTATCTTAATCAGACACTTAAACAATCTTTAGACTCTGGTAAGCAACCCCATTTCCCCCCCACCCACCCTCAGTGTCTGCTATCTGGCTTCCGTTTGACCTGCCCAACATGGTGAAATTAACCAAGAGTTTACCCAATTAGGACATTGCCAGCAGTTCTAAAGGTTCATCCACATAGTCATTCATGAAAGCTACACACATTCCCCTGTGTTTGTAAATGATTTATTGCAATACAAAGTAATAGTACAGCCCTTTTCCCACTTATTCCTGCAGCCTGACATGGAACAGCAAAAGACATCCAACAGCGTGCCATGGTTCCTTATTTAAAATAGGTTCTGCATCACCATATAGGGCACCCTCCCTCACGAACAAGAAAGGGAATTTTTGCTAAAAAAGTAGACAAGGTCTTATTTCCAATCAGCTACAACAATAGTGAGAGCACTAGTGTAGAGAAGGGACTAACAATATTTTAAGCACTGTGCTGTGTAGATCTAATCTGAACAGAGTTAAATGACAGTAGTTAAAATGCTGGGAGCCTCTTGCAGACCTATCTGTACTAGCACTCCCAACGATGCTAAACTGAGGGTAGCAACCATGGGAAATTTTAGCAAATGCTCAGCAGCACATCCACAGCCCAAGTCTTCCTCAGGAATCTAATTCCACTCCAGGGGAGAGTCAGCAGGGTTCATTACTGCAGAAAAACAAATCACTCTCTCGGTTACCCAGCAGCATGACATACACCACAGTGTTGCTCCTGAAGTATGAGGGACTGAGCTCAAGGCTCAGATCTGCAACTTTCACGTGGAAGCATGAAGTCAGAGTGCTCAGCTTTCCTCTGGTTGGTATCTTTTTATGTAGTTTCCATTTCAAGCATAGTGGCCCAAAGCATAGAGTAGAAAACAAAATGCACAGATAGTAAAAGTATATGTTTTATATATTTCATCCTTCTCCCTCACATGTAAAGAGGAATGTTGGGCCAGTGGTGAGGGTGCTGACTTGAGAGACCTGGGTTCAACTCCCCACTCAGCCACAGACTTCAGGCAAGTCACTTAGTCTCTGTGGCCAAGGCCAGCTCCAGGCACCAGCTTGGCAAGCAGGTGCTTGGGGCGGCCACTCCGGAGGGGGGCGGCAGGTCCACCAATTCGGCGGCAATTCGGCGGACGGTCCCTCACTCCCGCTCGGAGCGAAGGACCTCCCGCCGAAGTGCCGCCGCAGATCGCGATCGCGGCTTTTTTTGGCTTCTTGGGGTGGCCAAAACCCTGGAGCTGGCCCTGTCTGTGGCGCGGTTCTCCAGGTGTAAAATGTGGACAATAGTTTCCTTCTTCACAGGGATGTTGTGAGGCTAAATACACTAAAAACTGAAGTGCTCAGATACTGTAGTAATAGGGGTCATATAAGATTCCTTAGATGGGTATGTTTTTGTTCTCTTAGACAGTGGGCTCTGATGTAGGGACCATGGGTGGGATGGTCAAAAGTGAGTACGTGTTTCATTGAAATTCAATGGAACATGTATTCCTAAGTGACTTAGGCACTTCTGAAAATCCCACTCTCCAACTAAGCCACTGCTTAATGCAGCATGGGGACAGAATTCTCAAAAGCCCTTGCCAATACCATGGCACTGAGGGAATTGTTAGCCAGACAAGGACACAGCCATGATTTTCTCAGCTTGGACCACACATACAATTACATTATGTGAATGCAACGTAAGCTGTAGCCAGCTAATACATATTACTGAGGTCTTATTTTGTTGTGAATTATGCCTTGGGCAAAGCCTTCCTGGTCCAGAAAAGAAAGAGTTTAACATTTTTTAAAATACTCTAAATCCTGTTTATCCGTTTCCTCCCCCTGAGATATTCAAAGCCCCCAGGTGATTAGTCAGGTTTCCTTCTGATTGTCAGACAACTGGAGCTCTATATGATAAAAGAAACAGTACCATGTGACAAAACACAACAAAACAACATGGCTCAAGTACTAAATATTGAGCACTGAATTACCACAGTGAACTGTTTATGATCAATCCACAGAGGGGCAGCAAAATTGCACACAAATTCATTGAGGGTCAGATTTTGCCACATTTATGCTCAGAAGTACCCCCAGTGACTTTAATGGGACTGCCAGAGTAAGGGCCTACTGGATATACAGGTGGAAGAATCTGGCCCTAAATACACTCACATGCTAAATCAATTTGAAAAAATTACACTCTGCTTATGAACATGTCAGGAGCAGAATAAGCAGCTAAATACACAAAATATATCAGTGGCTGTGAATCATTTATCCCACTCTAGCTATTTTGTGCGGCAGACACCATAAAGCCTTTACTAGCAGATAAATGTTCTTCATAAACATTTACTTGCTGGAAAAAAATCAACATCATGCGACCAATAAGGAAGATCTTCATGTGTGTTTTGGGACTTGTAGCCTAACCCCACAATGTGCTGAGCGCCATCTGCTCTCAGTGGTAGATAAGAAGGCTTTCTACCCTTCAAGATTCAGGCATATAAGCTCCCATTTTATGGCTCTCATCCTGCTCCACATTTAAAAAAAGCAAGCCTTCCATTGACTTTAGTGGAAAGGAGCAAACCCTCTGAAAACTATGAATTAAATTAAAATATTAACTTCCAAGTTGAATTGCCCCACTAATGACTAACTGCTAAATATGGCTGTAGTTTGACCATATACAATATGCTTAAAATATGATTTCATGAAGCCATATATTCTGATACAAATGTGTTTTAATGTTTAAAAAAATGCAAAATTCCTTTTATTCATAGGAATAATATCAAACAAATCAGATAAGTAGGAACATGAAGTGATTTTTGTCAGAATCAGTTTAGGGGAGACAGCTCATGACAAGTTTGGAGTAATAGCTTGACTCATTGCTGCCACTGGCAATCTGTGTTTCCAGGTCAGGGACCCACATTGGGGAGCAGCATGAACAGGGCTCTTGCTCTGTGGTCAACAGATGCTGTAGATGGTCTCGTACTCCGATTCTGAGAACATATTGTTAAGGACCAGACTGTGGAAGGCCTTAACTAACAGTTAGGACAGGAAGTTGATCTAGTTGTTGGAACAGGAGTGACCAGGCCTAGTGGCCAGAACCCAAACCAGAAGCAGGGTTACTCAGTCCAGGGAGCGAGGCAGAGTCGAGAGCCAGGAAGCAGGAGCCCAGGCTCAGAAGCTGAATACCAAGTCCAGGGAGTGAGCCAGCACTCAGAGTTCAGAACCACAGAATCAGCTGGAGCCAATAACTGGGAGTAAGAAGTAGGAGATTGGGAGCAGGAACAAAGAGCCGGGAGCCAGAGACAGGGACAGTAGTCAGGAGTAGGAACCAGAGACAGGAGGAAGAACCAGGAGCACGCTGAGAACAAGACCAGCAGCACAGCTACAGCCTCGGAACACTAGTGAGGAGCCAGGAACCTAGACCTGCCACAGGGTTTAAGAATGTGCCTGCTGAAGTCTTCAGCCAATCAGGAGGCCAGGTTCATTAACTGAATCAGCTGGGGGCTGTGAGCTGGATCTGGTTTCAGCTGTGGGTCCCTGACACATGCAACGTTTTCATGGCAGCCCCCGTTACTGATATAGAGGGGCCTATCTGACATTAAAAGGGTTGCTTTGACACTAAAAGGAGGAGCAAAGCAGTAGGACAAGTGAACACCCACCACCACCAAACAATGCTCACAAAGATCATCTTTCCTCAGACATGTAAGAGTGAAATCAAACTCTGAGGCATCATCCCAGGCAAATAAACTTAAAGAAAAAGAACCTTATATAAAATATTTGCAACCAGGAAAGAATGCAACAAAGACTAACCAGAGTGTTCACTCAAATGATTTTACTGGCAATGGGCCCAAACTAAAGCTTCGACTTTGGGCATCCCAGGTCAGGTTCACCTCAATCTGAAAGGTAGAGACACATCTGAGAGGCTTGCAATGACACCAGGACCAGATACCCCCAGCTTCCAGAATACACTGGGCTTCCTGCTGATCAGGGGCTGACTCCAGCATTTCTGCCGCCCCAAGCAAAAAACAAAAAAAAGCCGCAATCGCAACCAGCGGCGGCAATTGGAAAAAAAAAAAAAGACTGCGATCGGCGGCGGCAGTTCGGCGGCAGGTCCTTCGCTCCTAGAGGGAGTGAGGGACCGTGCCGCTCCCGAACTTGCCGCACATGCCGCCCCTCCTCCCTTCGGCCGCCCCAACGCACCTGCTTGTTAAGCTGGTGCCTGGAGCCGGCCCTGCTGCTGATAGATTTCCCATACCTCTCTTGCTATTGCTGCTCCAGCTAGGCCTGCTTGTATGTAGCTGTGATCTGCTGCATCTA